ATAAGAGAAGCCAATGTTGGATCAGGCAATAGCCCATCTAGTCCAACACTCTGTGTTACACAGTGTCCCAAACCCAGGTGCCATCAGGCAGTCCATATAGGCTACTAGTTGGGAAAGTAATATGGGATGAACAGCAATGAGGCCGCACCACTTCTATTCCTTCTTCTCCCTCCTGGCAGATAAACTCTAGGTTCTTGTTTATTCCATCAGCTGCTCCTCTTTAGTCTGAAATTTAAAACCAAAAAGGGAAGATATGAAGGAAAACAAGATACTTCAGGCCATTATGTAAATGCCTCTTCTCTACATCGTATTCTTTACAGGATGCAGACATGGGGCACTGAAATCAATTTGTATGCTGTCTCTCCAGATTTGCTCAAGGCAACATGCTACAATAAAACAAAACCAAGCATACAACACAAATCATAACAATAAAATATAACGATGCAACTCAAATCAATAATAAAAAACATACCAATAAAAACCCCACTAAAGCAAGCCAAGGCATCTTGATTGAAAGCATCTTTTTGACCCATTATACCACTGCCTGTCAAAGAGTTCTGGAGAACTCAGAATCTTGGATCCACAGCAACAACCTCTCCTTTAGCTGCAGAGTGGCTGAATTGGTTCTTGCCACTGCTGTAGTAGAGGGAACAGCTCCCTGTCCCTGCAAAACAAAGGAGCATCAATTACTGGGCTAGGCCCTCTCAGGGGAATGTCATAGTTAAGCTGTCTTGGATAACTCTGCTGGCCTCTCCTGCTGCTGTATTTTTTTTTCTACTGGTGGCGAAGCATTATTCTGCATTGTATCTGCATATTTGCATGCCGTATCTCATCAAATATGCTATGCTTGTGTAGATTTCTGCCATCCTAGTATATTGCTTACTATCCTATCGAGTGTATCAATCATAGAGAGTGTATTGATTTACACGGAGTAATCTGCTTTGAGTCTCAGTGAGAAAGGCAGATTATAAGTATGGTAAATAAATAGGCATTTGGATAAACAAAATGGTATCCCTTTTATGAAGCGCATGCAGTTCTGACCTTATTAATATTACAGAATGAACTGATAGCTCACTTCTCACCTCTTGTGGTTTTCTCGTTATTATTTTATTAGAAAATTTATAAACCACCTTTCATTTTAAATCTTCAAAGTGGCTAACAAAAAAAATCAAGAACCCGTATACGAACTAAACAACTAGACTGGAATCAAGTAGCACCTTGGAGACCAACAAGGTTTTGGGGGTATAAGCTTTCGAGAGTCAAAGCTCCATTGATTGGATCTGATGAAAGGGTCTTTGACCCTCAAAAGCTTATATCCCAAAGATCTTGTTGGTCTCCAAGATGCTAACAGACTCCACTCTAGCTGCTCTACTACAGCCCACCTTGGCTACCTGCTGAAACTACACAAACTAAAGTAAATGAAAATAAAACAAAGCAAAGCAGAACACAGAAGAGACAATTTGCAGCAACAATTCAAATTAAGGCACTCAAAACATTCCAAAAGATATTTGAAAATGAGCTGCCTGGGACTCACACCTAAATGCTATAACAGAGAAGGCGCAAAGTAAACCTCTCTTACAAGGGAGTTGTGCTATTTTGGTGTTACTGCAGACAAGGTTCCGTTCTGAACAGCCACTTTATTTCTAAATGGTAGGGCAACAAAGAGCAGAGGCTTTGTGGAAGATCCTAATATCTACGTAGGCTGACATAGGAGCAGGCAGAATTTGAGGTATTAAGAGCCCACAGATCTTGTAATACTGGTTTTGTATGAGCAAAACAGCATGCCTTTGGATAGCTGCATTCTGAACAAACGGTAGTCTCTGGATAATCTTCAAAAGCAGCCCCAGATACAGCATGTTACAGCAGTCTAACTGGGATGTCACTAAAGCATAATTATCGTGGCCAAGTTGTGGTTCCTCAAAGAAGGAGGACAGGTGGCAAACCAACCTAGGCTAGCAAAAGGCACTCCTACCCACAGCTACTACCTGCCCCTTCAGTTCCAGTAGGGTCCCAACAGAATCACAAACTCCTGCACAGCAGTATCATTCCTGCACCGTGTTAGATGCTAGATTATGTCTGACTGTACACAGCTGCACAACTTCTTGCTGAGAAGCATTACAATGGAAGTCGACACAGGCCCCAATGGTTTGCAACCCAAGGTGCCATAAACAGAAAACATATCACAAGTTCAAACTTTTATTAAGTATACCTTGGAGCATTCTACCATCTGTGTCAGAGACTGGAGGAATAAAGGCCATTATGTTTTAAGATCTTTCCTTGTCCATAAGGGATGATTCTGTCTATAATAGTGTTGAGATGAGTAAAATGCAGCCATCATACTAAGATTCAGCCCTCCTCAGCATCTTGGAATTGCCACACGCAACTTGATGGGAGGAAAAGCCAGCCCTGTGACAGCGTGTTTTATTGCATGTTATTGCAGTGAGAGGAGGCCAACTGAAAAACAAGGGTCTCTTCAACAGTCCGTGCTGTTTCGTCACCTGGCTCTTGGTGTTTACCTCACACACTGGATATAGAGACTTCAGCAATGATCAAGGGCCCTGTCCAAGAGCTGATAGAGTAACCCATCATTTGGATTCCAAATCAGAAGCGTGGAAGCCTCCAAATGCCTGTGCTGCTGCTGCTGCCATCCCTGCAGAGAGCTATTCCCTCAGGCTTCAAATGAGGTCTCAGCATCCACTGTTTGTTGTGGCTGTCATCAGTGTGATGGACTCCGGTTGAGTTGCAGTAGCTGCCATGCTGACAGCATCTCCCAGACTTTGCTGTTCTTCCAGCTGAAAGGAGAGAAACGGGACATCACTCTCCCCACACTTACAGAGTAGCTAGAACTTGGCAGTTTTGGGAAAGACTAACCACCTAGGTGGAGATGGAGGCAAGTATTTATTTAAAACGTTTTTATGCCGCCTTTCCACCCAATCAGGGTCTACAAGGCAGCAAAGATTTAAAAAAACCATTAAAACATTTAAGTATAACACTGGTGAGCTCTAGGATATTGCCATATTTTTTTTCCTCTGACAACTAGAACTGAACTAACCCTACAGTGGGTGGGGAGGTGTTGCATCTTTCTTACAAGGAAAGGCTAGGGAGTTTGAGGCTTCTCAGTTTACAGAAAAACAGCTAAGGGGAGACACAACAGAGGATTATGAAAATATGACTGGTACAG